TTTACTCTCAGTAGCCATGTGAAAAACAAACCTATCTCAGCTGGAAAAAAAAAATTCATTCTTCAACAACCACAATTACTACTTATAGAATATGTATTACAGTTGGGCATTGCACAACTTCTAAAACTTTGGAATCAGATTGGACACTGCTATCCTTATTTCCTGTTCCACAATTATTTTCATGCAGTTTGCATTTTATTACAGGAACCCTCAAAACTCACAAAGCTATGTCACTGAAAGGAATATAGCACAATCTAATTTTGAAACCATGAATTCTCTCAAGCTAGTAGTTCACCAAGCAACCAAGAGATGTCAAGCATTGCTCTATCTCCCTTGAAAATTTAAAGTTCACAGCAGCACCTCTGAGAGTTGGTAACAATACCCTGGGGTGCCGCGGTGAAGTTTGAGAAACATGGCCACATGGTAAGGTATTATATACTTTTGTGACTTGGACTTAAAACAGACCTGGGTTGGAAGTCAGATTCTACCAATAACTATATAATCTTGGGCATTAAGCAGCTGAATCAATCTCTTAAACCTTAGGTTCCATGCCTGTCAAAAAGGAATAATACCAGCAACCTCAGATAATAGTTGTAGCCCTAGCCGGTTTGGCTGAATGGATAGAATGTCGGCCTGTGGGCCAAAGGGTCCTGGGTTAGATTCCTGTCAAGAGCACATACCTTGGTTGCAGGCTCCTCCCCCCACTCGTGCAGGAGGCAACCAATCAATGTGTTTCTATCACATCAAAGTTTCTGTCTGCCCTTCCCTCTCTCTTCCACTCTCCCTAAAGGTCAATGGATAATATCTTCGGGTGAGAATTAACAACAAACAAATAAAAAGTTGTAAGGAATAATGAGCTGTATGCACATAGTAAATACTCAATAAATGGCAGCTATTATTATATCATTAAAACTGAACAAGTAGTTTATAAAACCAGATTTAATAATTGACTCTATAGGGATGAAGGTAACATTCTAAGCTGAAGCCACAATGTCAAATTAAAATGTACAAATATTTGCCTTAACTGGTTTGGCTCAGTGGATAGAGCGTTGGCCTGGGGACTGAAAGGTCCCAGGTTCGATTGTGGTCAAAGGCATGTACCTCGGTTGCGGGCACATCCCCAGTAGGGAGGGTGCAGGAGGCAACCAATTAATGTGTCTCTCTCACACTGATGTTTCTCTCTCTGTGTCTCTCCCCCTTCCCCTACCATTCCCTCTAACAGATCAATAGAAAAATATTCTCAAATGAGGATTACAAAAAAAAAGTGTCTTTCAAGGAATAACCACAATAGGAAACTAGGACCCTTTAAACAGCATTAAGAACTGTGTTTTAAAAATACTTAAATTTGCCAAAACCAGTTTGGCTCAATGGATAGCGCGTCGGACTGCAGACTGAAAGGTCCCAGGTTCGATTCCGGTCAAGGGCATGTACCTTGGCTGCGGGCACATCCCCAGTAGGGGGTGTGCAAGAGGCAGCTGATCGATGATTATCTCTCATCAATGTTTCTAACTCTCTATCCCTCTCTCTTCCTCTCTGTAAAAAGAAATAAATAAAATATATTAAAAAAATATTTAAATTTAAGAAGCAAAACTCACTTGACTATAACAGACTTTTTACAAGAACATAATGGTTCAATACATCTGCTCAAATCACTTTCTCACATGCTAAAAATTTATCATTTTAATTCCAAATACACCTGTGTGTCTTTTATCTCACAAACATCTGTAATAAAATTTGTAATACAGGCCGAAACCGGTTTGGCTCAGTGGATAGAGCGTCGGCCTGCAGACTGAAGGGTCCTGGGTTCGATTCCAGTCAAGGTTGTGGGCACATCCCCAGTAGGGGGTGTGCAAGAGGCAGCTGATTGATGATTCTCTCTCATAGATGTTTCTAACTCTCTATCCCTCTCTCTTCCTCTGTGTAAAAAAATCAATAAAATATATTTTAAAAGTCACTACGTTTTAAAAAAATAAATAAATAAATAAAATATGTAATACAATATCTGTAGGTGCATGATTTATGAAAGGAGTTTTGAATGAAGATTTTTTTGTTTTTTAATTTTTATTTATTCATTGATTTTAGAGAAGGAGGGAGAGAGAAAAAAATATCAATTTGTTATTCCACCCATTCATTTGTTGATTCTTTTTTTAAAATATATTTTTATTGATTTCAGAGCAAAAGGGAGAGGGAGAGAAAAATCAATGAAAGAGAATCATTGATCAGATGCCTCTTGCACACCCTCTACTGGGGATACAGCCTGCAACCTGAGCATATGCCAGTGGCAGAAATCAAACCTGGAGCCCTTCAATCTGCAGGCAGATGCTCTATCCAGTGAACCAAACCAGCTAGGGTCATTGGTTGATTCTTATATGTACCCTGACAGGGGAACGAACCCACAACCTTGGTGTACTGGGAGGACATTTTAACTAACTGAGCTACCCAGCCGAAAAGATTTTTGAAACATTTCATTTGATCCTGAAATTATTTCAATTTACTGAAGAAACTGAGATTCCCAGAAATTAAGTAATTCGTACTAAAACCCACGTATTACACAGTTCAACACTATGCCACAACTCCTTCCGGAAAGACTTAATTCAAATCTTGTTGGTTGGACCAGTATTGTTTCATCAACTATTTCAAGTAGGTTAACCATCACCAAAGGCCTAAAAATGAAAATCTTTGCCATGCACAGTAATGGCATGTCACCTGAAGAGACTTCATTTGCCAGTATCCTGAATTGTGTGAACAGTAATTAATAATTACTGTTAGGCCACCTTGTGACAAGACATATTGTAGTTGGAAATACAGTGGCTGAGCCCACTGGTATAATCTTTCAGTCCATATTATTTCCCATTTTTTACTTAGCTGGTGTCCCATTGTTCAACTCTAGATAGAAAGATAGCATGAAGCATTAAACTGATTCTGATTATTTTATCTTGTTATTAATATAAGCCAAATGCAATTGCCAAGATACTTAAAAGGAATGGAGGGGCAAGCATGCTTGTGTACTCCTCAAAATAAAATATCACAGAGGTGCCTTTAAATTTGGTCAAAGTAAATTCCAAAAATAATTTATCAGCAATCCCTTTCCCCAAATTCCCACATTTTCCCTCCGATAGATCACTATCATTCCCCAGGGTATCCTAAAAGCAAATTACTAAGGCATTCTTCTTCAAAATGACCAATTCCTTAGAAATTGAACGTAAATACAATTTAATAATTAAATTGCTACACTGGAGGACTTAAGTTTTAAAGAAATTCTATAGGAAGTCTTTACATAAAGTCTTAATGTAACTAGTCACCCTCCTATTTTATACTATATAAAAAATTAGCCTTTTATGTGCCGGAGTTTGTTAAGAGGAGAGATGATTTCGGCAAGAAAGAGTAAATATAAGCCTGCACCATAACTACTGTGTTTATTTGAGTCCCTGGTAACATGACACCATTTTCTCTACAGGTACTATTTTACAGAACTTCACACTTGGGCCCTTCCTAACAAATATAAATATACAGTTAACAGAAACTTCATGGAAGATGGAAAAGAAACAGCTGTCTCGTACCATGCCGAGTCCACTCTGGCCATCGAATACGGACAAACACAAAGATCTATTTGGAAGAGGGGTTTCCTCCCCAGCCAAGGGCTGTTCCCAGAGAAAGCCAACGATCAGAGCACAACAGAAAAACCTTCTCCGGGGGAAGAATGGTGCCAGGGGGAAAAACGGGGGGAGAAAGCAGGGATCGGAAATAAACAGGGAGTGAGTGGTATGCGCTCAGGGTGAGGGCTAGAGGCAGCAGGCGCAAACGCTGAGATGCTCCAGTGAAAAGATCCAGCAGCAGCAGCAGCAGCAGCAGCAGGAAGTTTCAATGGGGCCGGGCAGAGCATGCGCCCTGCGCCCGCGCGGTGGCCTTATGTGGAAGGAGCACCACTTGCAAACACCAATAATAGACCAGCGGCACCAGAGAGAAACATGAGCAACAAGCACCTCTTCAACTGTTTCCCCTCCGCCCGAGCCCCTCCTCCAGCCTACACATTAACCACCCCACCCGGCGAATGGGAGGGCGACTTCTCCTTCCCCGAAGCCTGGCAGCCGAGGTGAAGGGGGAAGGGACTGAAAAAGTGGGGAGATGCTTTCCTATGGGGGGTGGGGAGGAGGGCGGGGAGGGTGGTGTCGGGGTGGAGAAGAGGGAGAGAAAAAACTATGGGGAGGAGAAATTAACCCTCTACCCTCCAAAGCGGAGGTGAACCGACTTAGTCTCCCTCTCCACCCCCCCCCCCAAAGCGAGAATGGAAGAGGACACCCCCCCCCCTCCCACGGGGGAGGAGCAAATCTGCCTACTTGCAGGAAGGAGTTTTGGGGGTTAAATAGGCCCTCGAGGAGGAGGAGGAGGAGGAGGAGAAGCCAAGAGAGACGAGAGCCGACTCTCTCCGGGGAGTTCCCACTGGAGGGAGAGCTGAAGTGTCCACAAGCCCCCGCCCACCCAGGTGGAGGGAAAGAAAGGGGAGCCCCGAGATGAGCCCAGCCTCTCCCCCGAGATGGTCAAGAGGATGGTGGGAGGAGGGGAAGCAGAGCCAGGGAGAAGAGGAGGGAGGAGGAGGAGGAGAAAAGCGCAAAGCTGGCCGGAACCTGCGCTCCCCTGCCCCCGTCGAGAGGGAGCCGGGGTGGGGGACCGGCCTCCGCCGCCGCGGGGGAGCCGTCCCCGGGGCAGCCGCTCCGCACAAGGACCCCTCCCCGCCCCAAGCCCACACCTAGCCCGCGACTCCCCCACCTCCAGCTCGGCGCCCGGCCGGCCGAGTGGCCCTGGGGGCCTCCGCCCCGCCTCCTCACTCACTGCCCGAGCCCCCCGGGGGCTGAGCGGGGAAGACAGGCCGGGCGGAGCTGCACCCCAGGAGGGGAGGGGGGGGGGAGATAGAGTCGCCGCGGCCCGGGGGCTGTGGGGAGAGCAGCAGAGAGACGCGTGCCGGGGCCGCTTCCCGCCGGGCGTTCGGGCCCCTCGCTTACCTTCCCCGTTGCCGACGTCCCGCGGCGGCGCCTGCAGCACCCGCTCCAGCTCGGGGAACGGCAGCTCCGGCAGGTCGAGCAGCGGCCCGTAGCGCTCCAGGAAGGAGCACACCACGGCGAAGTTGGGGCACGAACCCGGGCAGCCCGGAGGAGCCAACGCCGCCGCCGCTGCCGCCGCCGCCGCCGCCATTTTGAACTGGAGGATGGAGGAGGAGGGGATGGGGGGGCTGGGGGGGTGCCGGGGTGCCGAGGACTAGCAGGGTGGCTTCACAGACGACAGGAGGCGCTAGCTCGTGGACGCCCCTGCACGGCCGAGCTCCTCCGGCCCCGGCGCCGCCGCCGCCGCGATCCCACAATCCAGCAGCGGCCGGGAGCAGTCGAGAGCCGAGTGTGACGGGAGGAAAGAGAGACGCTCGGCGCCTTTCACTTTCCTCCCTCTTCCCGCCCCCTTCCCTCCCCGGCCCTCGCTCCTCCCACTTAGAGTTCCTCGCAGCCTCGTGTGACAGGGGGGAATGAAAACAAGGGAAGCCGGGCGGGGAGGCGGGCTGGGAGCGGAGGGGGCGGGACTTGCTAGGGACGGTGGCCAATAGGCTTGGGGGGCGGGGCTCCGGGTTGCTGGGATAGGAGGGGGTGGGACTTGCTAGGGACGGTAGCCAATAGGCTTGGGGGGGGCGGGGCTCAGGGCGGCGAAGGGCCTAAGGCTGCTTCCGGGCGGGGCGGGTGTGCGGAGAACACCTCGCTCCGAGGGCCCGAGCTCTCCGAGGCGGAGCGGTTGGGGATCGCAACTCCCTGAAAAGAGAGGGCTTTGGGTGAGTTTGGCGGGGGACTCCGAGAACTGGAAAGAGGGCCACGGGACGGTGAGGGGAGTTCAGGAGAGTGGATCGGAAAAGAAAAGAGAATAAGAAGCACGATTGTGGGAGAACGTGGGGAAGGGGGTCCGGGAGAGGGGTGCCCTTCACTCGGGGTTGGGATGGCACCTGTGTGAGGACAAGTCTGCGGAAGTCGGCCGAGGGGTGTTGCTCGCTGCTGCCATCCGGGATTCGCGGCTTTGCTTTCGGAAAAACAAGTGGAGGGCTCCAGGAGACGAGGGCCTGCGGGACGGGGCTCTGCGGAGATCGCCCGTCTGAAAAGCCGGGGTCCTGCCAGGAGATCGGAGTCTGGAAGGACCTGCCTCCGCGGGAGGACCGAGGGGAGAGAGGACAGGGCTGCGCTGGGCGTGTGTGAGGGCGAGCGGCTCTGGGGAGACCCTCGGGCAGTGGTTCTCCACCTTCCTAATGCCGAGACCCGTTCCTACAGTTCCTCCTGGTGTGGTGACCCCAACCATACAATTATTTTCTTTCTTTTTTTTAAAATGTATTTTATTGATTTCTTACGGAGAGGAAGAGAGAGGGATAGAGAGTTAGAAACATCAATGAGAGAGAAACATTGATCAGCTGCCTCTTGCACACCCCCTACTGGGGATGTGCCCGCAACCCAGGTACTTGTCCTCGACCTGAATCCAACCTGGGACCTTTCAGTCCGCAGACCGACGCTCTACCACTGAGCCAAACCGGTTTTGGCCATACAGTTATTTTCATTGCTACTTCATAACTGTAATTTTGCTACTGTTAATAAATCGTAATGTAAATATCTGTGTTTTCCGATGATCGCGACCCACAGGTTGAGAACTGCTACTGTAGAGCCTAACACAGATATTTACATTACGATTCATTAACAGTAGCAAAATTACAGTTATGAAGTAGCAACGAGAATAATGTTATGGTTGGGAGTCACCACACCAGGAGGAACTGTATGGAAGGGTCGCGGCATTAGGAAGGTTGAGAACCACTGCTCTAGAGTCTAAGGGGATTGATTGGTCTGTGGGGTGGGGGCAAAGGGTGGGCGTGATAGGAGATTAGGTGGAAGAGTAAAAAGTTCGATAGAGGACAGGGTTCCACCTCGTTGGGGACAGCAGTGAGCATCCTCCCAAAAAGAATCTCAGAAACCGTCAATAATGCAAAATGGAATGTACAGCCGGAGATGTATTGTGCATTATGGTTTAGGAGCTTGAGCTTTAGATTCAGCCAGAATTGAATCCTAACAGAAACTCTTGATACCATTGGGGAAGATTCTTAATTTCTTTGAACCTCTGTAAAGAGGGGGTGATGACAGTGCCTACACCATAGGATCTAGGTAATTCACAGTAAATTTATTAGCACCATGCGCCATCTGGCATATTGTAAGTACTTTTTAAAAAAGGAATTCCTAAAATTTAGATGGAATCCAGCTATAATGTATACAGTTTACTACTTTAAGCCAAATTTTTCAATGTACATTTAAAACTTACATAGTACCTACTTCCTAAGAAGAATTTGAAGCAAGGTACAGTATAGCCATGTAAAATGGGACAATTAATGATTAAGAAATTTATAGGTAAATAATTATTTTTGGAACAGATAAATGCTTACCACACTTAAACATTGAATTTTGTTCTGCACTTCTAGGTGTAAAAAAAGGGAAAACTATAATGGTCGACATCATTCTCATTATCTAAAGAAAGAAAAACTACTCATTTATCAAAAGAGAAAAATTATAAGAGGAATTTATTACCTAGAACACTTATTTCTAATATTCAAACCCTTTTTAAAAGGGAAAAAATGTTCTTTTGAAATATATCAAATACTTTTGAAAATTCCAGTTTAAGAATACTGATGTATATGCTTTCCTTTAGTTCTTTGAATATATTTATAATAGCTTCCTTGAAGTCTTTGCTACATCAAACATTTGGGAACACAAGTACAGTTTCTTTAAAAAAAAATTTTTTTTAATTTATTTCAGAGAGAGGAAGGGAGAGGGAGAAAGAGAAACATCTATAATGAGAGAGAATCATCAATGGGCTGCCTTCTGCACAGTGGATGGAGACCAAAACCCAGCATGTGCCCTGACCATGAATCAAACCAGCAACCTTTTGGTGCACAGGATGACGCCCAACCAACTGAGCCATACCGGGCAGGACCACTGCATTCTTAAATAAATAAATTATATATATATATAAATTGTTGTTATTGACAGTATAACAGGCTCCTCTATCTCCCCTTCCCCCCTCCCCCCCATACTCACAGCCTTGTGTCCATTCTGGATATATGGAGAACTTATTCCCCTATGGCTGTGTCAAATCTGGGAAATTCCAGTTAAATCCTTCCCTACTCTCCCAATTCATTGTTTGCCCCAAATATGAAGGAATCAGAGCCACCTGTCACCCATATTCACCTCCACTAAGATCACTAGTTTAAATCGTAGTGCTTAAAATCAAGTGAGCCTCTTCTGACTGTAACAGCAAATCTATTGTTTTTCATGCTCTGCTCCAACCACATTGAACCTCTGTGCCAACAGAATCAATGTGGGGGCATGGGAGTGGTCCCAGGCAAGAACAACATACCTTACTGTTCTTATCTGAAATTCAGTGGTTGTCATAAATACTTCTCAGTTTATACATATGCATTTAATAGTCTTTCTAGAGCACCAGGAGGTTATTTTTATAGTTTTGTCCAGCTTTATATTTGCTTTTGGGGAAAGGATTATCAATCTTTTCACTCCATCATGCTGAAGTAAATCTCCAACTTTTCATTTTATCTCAAAAAAAAAAAAATATCCTGAGAATTCCTTCCACAGTCTGAGAAGTAATTATATTATCTAGTTTCCAAGGCTGGATATTTCAGAATCCCAAAAATAACAGTTTACTCATTAGACCTCTAAAGAATAAGTGACAACCACATAAATGAGGAAAATGCTTCTTAACCCATAGTGGATTATGGCTAACTATATTTTGCATATATAATAAGGAAATTACTTGTTTTAAAAAATCCAAATACTGGCATTGTTCAGAAAAATCTAAGTTTCTAATTATTATGAAGTTGAACTGATAAAACTTGTTCACTGAAATATTTTGACTTGCATTATTAATGCTTTATGTCCCAACATTTATATTTTTAAAAATTCACACACGAATGAAAATGGAAAAACTGCCCATACCTTATTTTCCCGTATTTTTTCACTTGCAATCATATACTTAGGTATCTTTTGACCCCATGGGGGAAAAAATAGCTAACATTCAGAACAACCAATAACAGGAAGAAGAGAAAAAATTTTTTTTAAAGAATGAAATGTTGCCTGGCTGGTGTGGCTCAACGGTTGAGCATTGACTCAGAGTCCAAAAGGCTACTGGTTCAGTTCCTGGTCCTGCCTGCCCTATTGTGGGTTTGATCCCCAGTAGGGGATGTGCCAAAGGCAGCTGATTGATGATGTTTCTCACTTAATGAAGTTTCTCTCTCTTTATCCCTCTCCCTTCTTCTCTAAAAAAATCAATAAAAACATTTTTTAAAAAGGGATAAAATGTTCCTCATTATAGTGGGTTCTTAAGTATGTTCTCCACATATGCAGCATACTAGCTGGATGTCTTTTGGCATAATTGTTACACGTTTGGCCTGGATAGCACATAGGTTGGTGTCTTCAAAAAGGCCAACCACATAGGCCTCACTTGCCTCCTGCAAAGCACCAATAGCTGCATTCTGGAAGCGCTGATCTGTTTTAAAGTCCTGAGCAATTTCTCGCAGCAGATGTTGGAAGGGAAGTGTGAGAATCAGAAGTTCAATGGATTTCTGATAATTTCATGGAGTGCCACAGTACCAGGCCTGTAACGGTGAGGTTTCTTCACCCTTCCAGTAGAGGGTGCACTCTTTTGTGAGCGGCTTTGGTAGCCAAATGCTTGACCACTGGTCAATTTGTGAGCAGTCTGCTTTGTAGGAGCCATGGTGTAGAGCAGCGATTTTCAACCTTTTTCATCTCATGGCACACCATAAACTAATTACTACTAAAAGTCTGCGGCACACAAAAAATATTATAATTTTTGGCAATCTGACAAAAAATATAGGTATAATGTTGGTTTAGTCACACCGGACAGCTATTGTTGTGTTGGCTGTTGTCATTTTTTATCTGACAGTCTAAGGGAAAAGAAGCCAGTGTCCCTAACTAAATAGTCAGATATTGCATGTCTAAAAAATTATTGCAACATACCAGTGTGCTGTGGCACACCAGTTGAAAATCGCTGGTATAGAGACTTCCTTACTTACCTCCCTTCTCCTTCTGCTAGACCTCTATGAGCTAGAGGCAGCACTAACATTACAGAGTGATAGTATTATATTTAAAAATATATTTTTATATAGTATACCTCCTGCATTTTGGAACTATTTCAACTTTTATAACTGATTTGGTACTTTCTTTTAACATTTCAGGTTTCAGTTAAGTTCCTTATGTCTTCCCCTGAAATTGCTTCCCTTTCATGGGGGCAGATGAAAGTACAAGGCTCTACTAAAATCTATAAGGACTGCAAAGTGTGGCCAGGGGGAAGTCGGGATTGGGATTGGAGAGAAACAGGAACTGAGGTAAGCTATTAGTGTTTGATTGATACTGTATAAGGCTAACGAAGTGATTTCCACCATCCTAAGCTATAATGACCAAGTGAAAAGTGGCTCGCTCTCTCTTTCCTTGAGATATAATTCAAGTATGCAATTCAATGGAATTTTCATTGTCATAAACTTATGCAGCAGTTACCACTACTAATTCCAGAATATGCTATCACTCCAAAAGGAATCCCCAAAAGGAATCACTGCCTCTTCTTCCCCTCCCCCAACTCCTGGCAACTACTAATCTACTTTCTGTTGCTGTAGATGTGTCTGTTCATTCCAATAAACAGAATATTCAATTCTCTTAGGATTGGAAATGCTGGGTCATATGGTAACTCCATGTTCAACCTTTTGAGGAACTGCCAGACTGTTTTCCAAAGCAGCTGCACCACTTTACATTTTAGATTTTAGGAATGTGTGATGTTTTCAATTTTTCTAAATCTCTCTACACCAACACTCACTATTGTTTGCTTTGTTTTTATTATACCCCTTCTAGAGGGTACGAAATGTTCTCTCATTGTGGTTTGAATTTGCATTTCCCTTGTATTGCACTTCCTCTAACATTCTCAGTGTACACAGACCCAAGGTAGAGTCTGTGTTCATGAGTGGAGGTTGGATGAAACAAGGGAAACCTTACCTCTCAACCACACTCACTTGGGACTTAGTCCCACAACAGACAGCTGGGGCAGGACGTGACACAATGGAGTCCTAGTCCACCCTGGAAAAACCTTTCCAGCTGGAAGATGAGAGGAGAAATGTTCTTAGCTGCAGCAGTGGAGTGGAGTCTCCACCTCATTGAACTGGGAGTGGGGAGGCTGGCAGCGGTCCTTCCTTAAATACCATGATTTCTCACCTTTCCTACCAAATATTTATAGACATCCTTTAATAGATGTTTCTTCATTTGCTGTTTGCTCTAAGGATCATTTCCAAAGGCTTTGAAAGATTTTTGTTTGTTTTTTATTTTTATTGTTTGAATGATTTTTTTTTTCAATTTGTTGTTGTTGGTGGTGGTGGTGGTGGTGGTGGTAGTTGGTTTTTTTGTTTGTTTCTTTTACTTATTTTCATTTAAGAGCAGGTGGTAGAGCTGTTCATGCTGTAATGATGGAAATTGATCTTCAGTTTTAAATATATATTTTTTATTTATTTCAGAGAGGAAGGTAGAGGGAGAGAGAAAGAGACTAACATCAATGATGAAAGAGAATCATTAATTGGCTGCTTCCTGCACACCCTCCACTGGGAATTGAGAATGCAACCCAGGCATGTGCCCTTAACTGGAATCAAACCAAGGACCCTTCAGTCCGCAGGCCAACACTCTATCCATTGAGCCAAACTGGCTAGGGTGAATTCTTTTTTTTAATGTGTTTTTTATTATTATTATTATTGACTAGAGGTCCAGTATACGGAATTTGTGCCCAGGTAGGGTCCCTAAGCCTGGCCAGCAATCAGGGCCAATTAGGGCCTTCCAGCTGCCGGCCGGGGTCTTCTTTCATTCAGTACCACCTCCTGGTGGTCAACACACATCATAGCAAGCAATGGAACTCCCAAACTGCCATGGAGACACTTTGCATATTAGCCTTTTATATATATATATACTAGAGGCCTATTACACAAAGATTTGTGCACTAGGCCTTCCTTCCCCTGGCTGCCAGCACTGTTTTCCTCCGGCACCTGGGACATACCCCTTTGCTCCCGCTGCAGCAGAAAAGCCAAGCCTCTTTAGTCGTCTTCAGTCTTTAGTCTTCAGTCTTCTCTCAAGCTGGAGCCTTCAGTTTTCGCTCCATGCCTGTGTATACAAATTAACCCACCATCTTTGTTGGGTTAATTAGCTTACTGACTCCTGATTGGCTGTGGGCATTGCAGAGGTACTGTCAATTTGCATATTTTTTTTTCCATGTATATTAGAGACACAGTGCATGAAATTTATGCACAAGATAGGGGGTCCCCTTAGCCCAGCCTGCACCCTCTTCAATCCAGGGCACCTCAAGCAAAGCCTCTCAAATTTACTTCCTCCTATTGCCTCCGTTTTCCTGGACCATGGCACCAATCCCCCAGCTGGTCTTCTTGCTTCTTAGTCTGCCTTTTTCATGTCTCTCTTCTGTTATAATTTCTAAAAGATAAAGTTGCTCATGTCTCTGCTCTGCTTAGAAAACTCCAGCGGCTTTTCATAGACTTCAAAGTTAAATACGATAGTGTTCACAGCCATTGTTTATGATACAGTTCCAAATTAGCCTTTCATTCTCCTCTCCTGTATTTCATAACAAGCATTTGAAGACCTAGTATCCCACACCAAATACCTATTGCCTTCCAAACCTACCATTATCTTTCATTTTGTATCTTTTGTGCCTTTGCTAACACCATTTCTCTTACTTAGAATGACACACTCCCTTTTGAAATCTTATATGTCTTTCCATTCTTAGCATTCGTATTATCTCCTCTAAGAAGCACTTTCTCATAACCCTGGTGAGAATGAGCAGCTTATTCCCTCCTCAGTATTTCTGTAATACTTGCTGCCTCTATTATAGCACTTAGCACAGACTGCCTGTATATAATGAGTGTATTTATCTGTTTTCCTCACTAAGTCCTCAAGTTGTTAGTATTCCTCACTAAGTGGAGCGCTTCCTAAGGGTAAGAACTATGCATTTAGCCCAGAGCCTATAAAATAGGAGATCAATATATTTTTACTGTACTGAATTTTTCATTATAAATGTCATTAAACCAATTTTTAAAAAACCTTTTGTGACATTTCCTCTGAGATATGTTAATGTTTTGTGTGTTTTTTTATTAGTTTTAAAAGGGAAGGGGTAGGTTTTATAGTGATTAAACAATGGAAATACCAAGAAAATGTATTGTCTTTAACCAATGTCCTTGAAGTGGTAATTACTATTACCTCCCAATTCTCTACCCATGATTTTTAAGCAACTACTATATAACTGCTCAAATATAGCTTTTTCAAAGTCACACAAAAAATATATTTGGGAATTAAGTTTTGAACCCTAATCTTACTCTAAAGCCCATACATTATAACTGTTTCATACTATCTTCACTCATTTCTCTCCCAAAGCAGTAACTACCGTATCTTATTAGAGAAGATTCTTCTGTGTGGAAACATGCATAAATCACTCATTTATATATCTTTTTGTTAGGCTGAAAGTTGTCAGGATGGAAGATGTAAAACAAGTGTATTCAACAATGAAGATAAATATTTTTTAAAAGTGTGAAATTAGCTGAAGCCGGTTTGGCTCCGTGGATAGAGTGTCAGCCTGCAGACTGAAGGGTCCCAGGTTTGATTCCGGTCAAGGGCATGTGCCATGGTTGTGGGCGCATCCCCGGTAGGGGGTGTGCAGGAGGCAGCTGATCGATGATTCTCTCTCATCAATGTTTCTAACTCTATCCCTCTCTCTTCCTCTCTGTAAAAAAATCAATAAAATATATATTTTTTTAAAAAGTGTGAAATGAAAAGAAAGCCAAACTAATAAGTACCCACCCCAGAACTTTAAAGGACCTATTGGAAAATTTATTCCAACTTTTGCCGAGACCGGTTTGGCTCAATGGATAGAGTGTCAGCTTGGGGACTGCAGGGTCCCAGGTTCGATTCCGGTCAAGGGCATGTACCTTGGTTGCGGGCATATCCCCAGTAGGGGGTGTGCAAGAGGCAGCTGTTCGATGACTCTCTCTCATCGATGTTTCTAACTCTCTATCTCTCTCCTTTCCTCTCTGTACAAAATCAATAAAATATATTTTTTTTAAAAAATTTATTCCAACTTTTAATTTTGAAAAATGTTAAACCTGCAACATAGCTGTATGAATAATACAGTAAATACCCGTACACCCTTTATCTAAGTCCTCAAGTTGTTAGCATTTTACCATATTTGTTTTTTCTCTCTAAATCAAGCACATACACACACACTCACATTCCTCCCCCAATCATTTGAGAGTAAATGGCAGATACCATATTTCAGCATTTCTCCCCTAAGGACATGACCATTCTCCTACATAGCTACCATACCATTATCATAAATAAAGATATTATCATTAACACAGTATTATCTAATATACAGTCTATCTTCAAATTTCCTCAGTTCCAAAAATATCCTTTATGTCTGTTGGTTTTGTGGTTTTATTTTTATACATAATGCAGGCGTAGGCGTGAAGTGCAACACAATTCCCAGAGAGTCTACCATCACCAGACCAAAGGTCCTTGTGCTCGGGACAGTGTTACCTAAGGAAAGACAGAGGGGTTGTTGCTAACCCTCTTTGCTCTTGTGTTGGCTTGCTTTTGCTCTTGTTTTTATTCACCTTTCAGCCTGGTTGATGTGGGCAGCCTATTCTGAACTCTTCTGTGTTAAACTTATCACTCTTTTTTTCTTAATTTTGAAAAATATTGAACATATTTAGCAAATTAAATAAAAATAGAAAAGACACTTGTATACCATCAACCTGGATTCACCAATTGTTAACATTCTGCTACATTTGCTTGTTTGTCTCTCTGTGGCACTTTCTCAATAATGATTTCTGTTGAATCATTTGAAAGTAAGTAGCATACATTGTGAAACTTGAACTCTTATCTACTTTAGCATGTATGTACTAAAACAAAAGTATCCTGCTATACATAATCACAATATGACACTCAACATTGATATAACACTAAACACTATAAGAAACTCAACATTGAAATATTATTAAATAACATCTATTCCATGTCAAATTAACAATTGTTCCAATAAATGTCTTTTATAGCTGGCTTACTTTTCTAATCCAAGATATATTCATTTTGTTGTCATGTTTCTTTAGTCTCTTCCTTTAAAACCAGTTATCCAAATTTTATTCCTCTTTTATGACATAAATGGGTTTAAAAAAAATATATATATATATATATATATATTATTGATCTTTCACAGAGAGAAAGCGAGAGGGAGAGAGAGTTAGAAACATTGATGAGAGAGAAACATCAATCAGCTGCCTCCTGCACACCCCCTACT